GATTAATTTGAACATTTGATTAGGTGGTGTTAATTATGCCATTTTTATTTTTTGAATTGTAGGCATACAGGAAAGATTCCAATTCATGGTGATGCTTTTACCAAAGCCACTTTATATAGGGATAGATTTTTCTTGTTGCTCTAGAGGCTTTCTCGTGATCAGCATTTTTCTAAGCCTGCATTTGATATTGAAAGGTCTCAGTTCAGCAGCTATGAGGTAACCCGTCTCTCTGTCTTGCACATAAACGTATCGAAATTGGAGGCACGTGTTAATTAAACAAAGTGTTCTTATTTATGTGTATATGTTGGGCAGATATCTCCAATTCAAAGTCTCGTTGGGCTAACAGGGAGAAGATGGGTCATGGGCGTTATATCTCAGTTAGAGGATGGCCATTTCTACTTGGAAGACCTCACTGGAGCAGTTGAAATCAATTTGTCTAATGCAATATCCTCTACATGTTTGTATTTTTCCCTTTCGAGAGACTTATTGTCTGTTTTGAGTGCTTGGATTTGGGCTGCCATATAATCTCCAAAAGTAAAAGTTCTCATTTATCTATGGAATAACTCTATCAAAAATTTCCTTTGTAGGATTCTTTCAGGAACTCCTTGTTATTGTCGCATACTTTTTTTTTTTTTTTTTTAGAAAAGAGAATTTTATTAAGGGAAGAAATGCAAAATAATACATGAATTTTGAGATTTTTGCAAATATGTTTTTACGTTTATTGTATATAATATTTGAATATATATATGATTGTAGGTTTTTTTTTTTTTTTTTGCGACAGTAAGAAGATGGTCGCTAATACATTGTAGGCCTTTTTTAAACTCTTTTGCAACGGCAAAATATCAGTCGCTATAAGTAGGTTAGGCGGTCACAAATAGTTTGCGACTACTATTTTGCGGTTGCAAAAAGTATTTGCCACCTCCACATTCGCGACTCTCATTTGCCGTCACATGGCCCGTTGCATGGCCCGTCGCAGTTTTTTTATTATTTGCGACGGCTTGTAACGGTCGCAAAAAGTATTTTTTTTAGTAGTGTTATAAGAATAAATAAATACATAAAAATCTTAGCCTGGACAAAAATAATAATAAATGTGGGATGAGTACATAACATGTTGGTTATGTTTGTTTGGAAAAATGATTTAATTAAATATTAGTTATTTGATTTTAAAAGAAATATTGGATGGGACATGGGCAAGGGAGGACCATAATTGTCCAAGTCAAGGTCCAGGTTGAAGCTGGGGAAAAATGTGTCTGGTATGGGTTAGAGAGGGGAGCATCTATTTACACACACCAAATACCCTCTTTGCACATCATTCTCACTACACACACCAAAAAAATTAATTCCTAATTAGTTACTCACTACACACACGGTTCATTCCATATCTACCCTCACACACACACACACACACACCCCCGACCCCAAACCCAGCTCTCCCGACGGTGCAAATACACACACCCACTGAAGCTGAAGCTACATCTTCAATCTTGAAGCTTACTGTGTTGAGGACATTACCCCATAGCTGAAGCTTACCGTGTTGAAGACATTACCCCATAGTAGAAGCTTCACACAGCTTTCATTCCCAAAGCTGCATCCATCAAGACATCACATTGAAGCATTCCAACACATTTTCAATCCTCATTCGTATTTAGGTGAGTTTACTTTTCAATCCTCATTCCTATTTAATTTGCAATGTAGAGTTTTGTTTTTATCATTTTGAAAATGAACGAAGACCCACAGAGTGTAAACAAATCGTTCGGAACTGGTTTTCCGAAATTAAGGAATTTGTTCGGAAGTAGGAATTCGAAATTAGTGATTTATTTCAGCAGTAGGTTTCCGAAATTTTTTAATTATTTCAGCAGTCAACTTCCGAATATTTTAAATTCGGACAACAATCAACTTCCGAAATTAATTTTTTGTTTCGGTTTTCAACTTTCGAACAGTATATATACTTTTGTTTTCAACTTCCGAACAATTTTTTTTTCTCTCCCTTCTTTGGTATATTCTTTTTACATTTGTGGTAATCTCTTATTGATTGATAAATAATTTCATAAAATGCATTAAAATTATAATTATTGTAACATAATTTATACCTCTATGAACCAATCACTACATATTCTATTTGAGATCACCTCTTCAAAACTTGTTTGAGCTTCAATGGGTACTAACACAGAATTGAAAAATGGTATAGCTTTCTTTGGGAATAGAATTAGGGAATAAGAGCATTAGTAATGCACTAGGATCGATTATTTTTCTTTTAATTTTATTTTTAACAATGTGATACTTAATGTGTTTATAATTATATATATTATGAGATTATTATAGTATTATGTTTGATCAAGATGATGGTCATCAAACATATTAATTTTTGCAGATAATATGGATTTTGAATATCAACAACGTATCCCACCTACTGCTTCAAATAGACGACGACGTGAATTGGATGTTGACTATGAACGGAGACGAGGGCGTGGGCGAGGACGAGGTCGAGGTCGTGGTTAAGGTCGTGATCCAGTTTCGGTAGAATATGATATCCCCGGTGCCAGTCAAAGTCGAAGCCGAAGCCAAAGACGAGTTCAAGGTGATGATATGCCTGACATTGCTGTAGAGGACGCCTCTTTACCCGATTCTCCTACTATCCAAGAAGAGCACCTTATTCATGCTTTTCCAGGTGGACTGGTAGATCCATTAATACTGTGGAGTTTCAATAGCATGTCGCTGCAGCTATTTGGCACGGGGAGGTAAACATTCCTGAGTAGAAGTGAAATTCATTTGTATATGAGTTTTTTTTGTGTGTGTGTGTGTGTGTTGTATGGTAGTTTCTAATGAGATATCATTTGTGTTATAGGAATGAGGGCCCCTAAAGTGTCATAATCACTCTTCAAAGATCCTTGCATGGCCATGGTGGTCAGTAGACAACAACACCAGATTCAAAGCCATTATTGAGCAGTCTGGGCTGTCACAATTAGCTCGTTGCACTTATCGGTTTATCAACAAGCTTCTAATCTCTAGTTTTGTTGAGAGATGGCAACCTGAGACGAACACATTTCACATGACAGTTGGTGAGATGACGTTGACTTTGGATGATGTTGGCAATATTCTTAGCCTTCCCATTGTAGGCAGATCAGTCAGCGTACTAGATGTGACGGATCATCATGGAGTTACACTACTAGTTTCTGGCTTGGGGATTACTGAACGTGTAGCACATGAAGAGATTTCTACTGCTTGTGGCAATTCAGTCATGCTTGAGTGGTTGCGAAGTCAGTTTGCTGGTGTCACAGATTCAGACCCCGATGAGGCTATACAGTGCGCTACTAGAGCTTATTTGTTGTTTCTGTTGGGATATACACTCTTCAGTGACAAGAGTGGCGGCAGGGTTCCTGTTGTTTACCTTGGCTTATTAATGGATTTGGGATCCATTCATACTTTCGCCTGGGGTGCTGTTGCATTACCTTTTTTATACAGACAGTTGGGGTATGCTAGCCGGTCCGGGGTTAAGCAGACGGGTGGTTATATGACTCTTTTGGAGGCGTGGATTTATGATCACTTCCGAGCATTCTGACCTCACCAGAACATGGGCTACAATGAAGACATGCCACACGTGTACCATTTTGCATCTAGGAGAAAGGCGGGTTCCTCCGTTGATCATTTGAAATCTTTTCGAGCCGAGCTTGACAGTTTGGTAGCGACTGATGTAAGTTTACTCGTCCTGAGATCATTTTAACACATTTCATTTATCTTACCCTTTATATACTTTAATTCAAAAACACTTTACGTTTACAGGTTATTTGAGATCCATACCACAGCTGCATAGACCGGCATCCATGTAACCCGGTTACGTTCTACCATGGATGCTTAAAGTGGTTAGATGTGGTCGAACCCTGTCATCCAGATAGAGTTCTAAGGCAGTTTGGCAGGGTTCAAACCATCCGAGATGCACCGCTAGCTCCTAGTCGCGGTGTTCGAGGCAACATTTCTGCACGATCTACAGTCATGTATAGATACTTGGATAGGATCTGGGAGGCTTGGGATAACCACATGTCATCTGAGCAACGGAAGAGCACACCAGTTCGTCAGCCTTGGAAATGTGTACCGGGTTACATGGATTGGTATAAGAATATTACGCACCTATATGTTGAGCACACTGATGAACCGCGTGTCCATGACCATCAGGATTTCAGCCAACACTTGACTAGTTGATAAGTTGAGTGATAAAGACCTAAGATCGCTAGAACTGGCTATTCGATCTGTTCTGACTCCGCCTTCTGGTTTGGTCTGACTCTATAGACGAGTTGGTATCACCGTGTTGGTGATCTGGAATTGGACTCCCATGACCAGATGCAAGCCTATCATCATATGTTTCCATCGTACAGACAATCACTACAACAAAAAACACATTTGGCGACCCAAAAATTGGTCGCCAAAAGTACAAATTTCATCGCCAAAAGAATCGGCGACAAGTTTATAATTGGTCGCCAAAGGCCTGTCACTAAAAGTATTGGTGACGAAATTAAAAATTGTCATCGTATGTAGACATTTAGCGACAAGCAAAATTGGTCGCCAAATATCATATATTTTGTCGCTATAAAATTACAATTTGTCGCTAAAAAGTTAAAATTCGGATAGGCTATGTAGATTTAGCAACAAATAAATGCGCCACCAAAAGTACTATTTAACGACAAAATTAATTTGGTCGCTAAAAATCACGTTTTTAGCGACGAGTAAGTTTTGGTTGCTAAAAGTTCTTGGAATAATCACAAACTTTTAGCGACAAAAATAATATGTTGTCGCCAAATATATTGACAGTGACCAAAATACCACCTGTCACTAAAAATTCACTACACAAATTTTGATTTTAATAATTTTCCTGTTCAAAATAATCCAAAACACCTGTTTTCCTGGGCACAATATATACACAAATGTAATGTAAATAATAATACACCTGTGCAAGACATTCATACTAATTCAAAATTAATAGATATAAAAAATCCCAATAAACATAATTACAATTCTCTGACAATCTAAAATATGCATACCAAAGTACTTACAAACTACTAACATCAAACTCATAAATACATTACCAAATCCTATGTCAAAATATTTTCAAAAACACAAAACTAAATATTTTGATGCTAAACATTTAATCCATAAATCATTTACCAAAATCCTATGTCAAAATATTTCCAAAAACACAAAATCAAATCTTCTGATGCAGCCCGAACTGTTTTTCACCATTGCCAATCTGTCACATGAAAAAATAAAAAACAATATTAGATTGAAGTTTGCTCATACAAGTCTATTTAGGCTTGAACAAGCTGCCCGTGCCAAGTTTCGGTGGTTTCAGTGGTCATTTTGCAATTTTGGCCCTCGAACGGCCTTTTAAGTCTTGTGCTTTACATTTCTTCTTGTAATTTTCTAACCGGAAATCCAATCGAGATCCCATTTGTTCCTACAAGTTTATTTAGGTTTTAACAAGCTGTCTGTGCCAAGTTTTGGTGGTTTCGGTTGTCATTTCGCAATTTCGGCTCCTAAACGAGCCTTTTAAGTCTTGTGTATTACAATTTTCCTTCTAATTTTCCAACCGGAGATCCAATAGAGGTCCCGTTTATACAAGTTTGCTCATAAAAGTCTATTTAGGCTTGAACAAGCTGCCCGTGCCAAGTTTCGGTGGTTTCAGTGGTCATTTTGCAATTTCGGCCCTCGAACGGCCTTTTAAGTCTTGTGCTTTACATTTCTTCTTGTAATTTTCTAACCGGAAATCCAATCGAGATCCCATTTGTTCCTGCAAGTTTATTTAGGTTTTAACAAGCTGTCCGTGCCAAGTTTTGGTGGTCATTTCGCAATTTCGACCCCCGAATGGGCCTTTTAAGTCTTGTGTTTTACAATTTTGCTTCTAATTTTCTAACCGGAGATCCAATAGAGTTCCTGTTTGTTCCTACAAGTCTATTTAGGCTTGAAAAGGCTATCCGTGCCAAGTTTCGGTAGTTTCGGTGGTCATTTCGAAATTTCGACCCTCGAACGGGCCTTTTAAGTCTTGTGTTTTACATTTTTTCTTGTAATTTTCTAATCGGAAATCCAATTGAGGTTCCGTTTATTCCTACAAGTCTATCGAGGTTTGAACAAGCTGTCCATGCCAAGTTTCGGTGGTTTCAGTGGTCATTTCGCAATTTCGGCCCCCGAACGGGCCTTTTAAGTCTTGTGTTTTACAATTTTGCTTCTAAATTTCTAACCGGAGATCCAATAGAGGTCCTGTTTATTCCTACAAGTCTATTTAGGCTTGAAAAGGCTATCCGTGCCAAGTTTCGGTGGTTTCGATGGTCATTGCGAAATTTCGGCCCCCGAACGGGCCTTTTAAGTCTTGTGTTTTACATTTTTTCTTGTAATTTTCTAATCGGAAATCCAATCGAGATCCCGTTTATTCCTACAAGTCTATCTAGGTTTGAACAAGCTGTCCGTGCCAAGTTTCGGTGGTTTCGGTGGTCATTTCGCAATTTCGGCTCCCGAACGAGCCTTTTAAGTCTTGTGTTTTACAATTTTTCTGCTAATTTTCTAACCGGAGATCCAATCGAGGTTCCGTTTATTCCTAAAAGTCTATTTGGGCTTGAACAAGCTGTCTGTGCCAAGTTTCGGTAGTTTAGGTGGTATATTGATATATTAAGCACTAATGAAAAAGGACAGGCATCACATACCCTTCAATCAACTCCTCAGGTTGTGGCTGAAGCTCATTGTCTCTTAGCTCCTCAATTTTCTTTGATATTAAGTTAATTCTGTGAATTGCAACTTTGATTCTTGAGTGCAGGTCCTTCACAACAGCTCGAGTTTTATCAACCTTCATGGAACTTTCTCCCTTCGATTCTAGTTGTCTAAAGAGTCTACATTTAAAGTCAAACTCTTTTCTGACAAGCTCACTAGCCTGAAATTTCAAAATTATTTCATGATATGTCAAAAATTAGGGGTCTCACATATAATAGAACATTTTCAAGCTACTTGATAACTGAAAAACTGAAGATAAAGCTCAAGTAACAGCTGTCATTCAATATAATCGCATCTACAGATATTGATTACATTGCTGGTGCATAATTGAACAAAAAAATAAAATCGCAAATACAGCTTCTTTTCTTTTCTTTTTTTATCAGCACAAATACAACTTATGTATACAGAAGGTACATAGAAAATGAAATAGTCACGGAAAAGCATTAAAGAAGGTAACATATAATATCAATGGAATTTCAAAGTATTGAAACTTGAAAATAAAATTTAAAATAAAAAATATTTCATTAGTAGATTAAAATTTGACAGAATAAAATTAATCTTCTAGCACACCATATTTTCATTTGATGGGACACCCTCCTAGCTGAAGGACAACAGTTTCTTCTAAACCCACACTTTCCTGGAAAATTAGCCTTTCCAGCAGTTTACTACTTTACCCAATACCCAATATACAGGTTCCTGTACAAGTGAAATTTCTTAAAACATTATAATGGTAATGGAAATTTCAACACACTACAAAGAGACACACAGACATGAGCAAATGCTTCAAACATTGATGCATTATAATGTATCAGAATGTATGCTGAACTGCTGACATTTAGGCTATTTTGGGTACCTAGAATTGAGTCCCACAGTGAGACCAACTCAGAATGAAATTCAGAATTGGTTCATTTTATACTTTATAGCAATAGAAAATGACAGTCATTGAACACCAAGACCAATTATGAATGAAACTCAATGCCACTAGTGTGGCAATACTAAATCTAGGGCTGGGTTATCGAAAGTGTTATTTTGGGAGCTTCAATTTCCACACACAACTTTCTCTAAGTTCATGCACCATTTTTCATTCAGAGGTTGATTTCCAAACAAAATTACATGGTTCAGAAATAAACTTTAAAACGAAAACCAATGGTTCAAAAATCACCCTCTGAACCAAAGATACGGCCGAATCATAAAGGTTTCATGCAGAAGTTCATTTCTGTGTCATAAAGTTTTGTTCAAAAGTTGACATCCGAACCAAAAGAGTGTGTTAATTGAGATAATGTGGTGTGTGGAAATAGAAGCTCCCTGTTATTTCAAGTATAATCACGCCCATGACATTGCCACCAAACTCCACATGTTACCTAGTAAATCAATTATAAGCTGGAAGCCACTGCACGGAAACCCTATTCAGACATCATAGGATTCAATGGTTGAGGTTGACTTAACTACCTAGTGAGTGTCAACATATAGACTATGCACCCTAAACTATAGTTTTGCTTTTAAATCTTCTCATGATGGAAATGATTTTTCGTTAGTTAGGATCACAAAATTTTAAGTGTAATAACGATTTCCCAAATAAAACACTTAAAATTGTAAAAATAGGAAGAAAAGACCATCAAAATGGCACTTACAACGATGTAGCAATACACATCATTTATCTTTGCTGCAGAAACACAAAGTTGGGATATGGACCTGTGAAGTTAAAGACGCCTCTACAAGATAATTATTTTAAGGTGATGAACAAGGACATGGTGTTAGACAGACACATTAGCATAGATACACATACATATAGACTCATAGATAGAGTGCGGAAGAGAGTCTGAAAATTGAAAATTATTTAAAATGCATTGTGAATTTGTGATCCAAGTGTGACAAACATTCGTCCATTGTGTTTTTGAGAAGTGTTAGTTTATGGACATGGCTCCTACTAAGAAGTGTTTGTGGTTCCTTAAGCCAAATCATTTTATTTTTTGTTGTTATTTTTATCCAAAAACCACACTCCCTGTTAACAAAAACTGCTATGCTTGTCTCAAAGTTCTGGTATGGTTTTTGGTACCAATATTGCTCCTAATATGATAACCCTTGATATGACTTGCATATTAGCTGAAGGGAAACATCTGCAATCTAGTATAAGGAACTTGGAAATCATGCATAGGAATGAATAATTCTACTGATAATTAGTCAGTTCATAATATATTACAAATTAGTACAAACCAAAATTAAATGACGCTCAAAATAATAATAAATAAATAAACAAAATAAAGCAGTTTTATTTACTTTATCCGTTTTTTATATTATGTGAACCTCAAGAATCGTTGGTTTTACAGGTGACACATATTGGTATCTGCCAATAACAGTGGGTTCTTCATACACCACACATGAGTATGGTGATCAAGCCTCAGAACACAAATTTGTAAAATCTGAAGGATGATTGCATCTTCATGTTCATAATGTAAGGTCATACAGCTTGAAACATAAAAGGGTTCCACTAAATGTTTGAAAGCATGCTGACTCAAGTGTTCAGTTAACTCAATTCAGTTTGACTTGAACAATGAGCAGAGTGGACAGGTGAAATTATAGAATTTATGAAAAACAAATAATTCCATATCTTTAGCTCCAACCTAGTTGAACAAATTAAGATCTAGAAATTTTGAAGCGAAGTAGGAAAAATAGGACCCAAATTTTTTTTTTCCTCTTAAAATGAGCACATTTATAAGATGAGTAAAAGACAATTTTTAACAGAAGTATGTCCCGATAAAGCATCATGAAGATTCCTTATAAAGTAATCACGGTAATCTAATGGCAATGACATGAAAGTACCTCCTATCAAGATGAATTCAACCTGCAAAATGAACAGTTATTTACAACTAGTGAACAAGGATTTTTAAATATATATATCATCTCATTTTGTACAATTGAAGTAAACATTGAAAAACGTGGAAGATGACAAACCTTATCGACACTGTGGCCCAACCTTTTGAGTTGATTTATCCTGCTTCTAGCTTGAACATACGGGTTATATCTAAAACCAATATTACACAGAGTGATTAACTCATGAAGTATTAACTACAAGATATAGACACTCGTAAACATTTTCGCACAATGATAAACGAACTCTAGTAGATCCAAATTAATGAAAATGGGGATAAGGTGGAAAACGAATAGGTTATTAGCATTTTCTCATAACGCTGATTATAGCAGATTCACATTATAACAAAATGGGTGGCATTATTGGAGTAGGCACTTCTGTTTCTCCCTGATATATCAACAAATAGCAGCCACAATATTGAAACCTCCCCTGTTGAATCCCTCACAGGGCATTTATATAAGGCTCCAAAAACATACATTCAAACTCCTTGTCATTGTCAAGAGTCCAAGACTGATTCATTATCATGACTCACGAGTACAATTTGAAAACTTCAAATTTAGGCTAGAAAAATTAAGGCCACTGCAAATCTTCACTCTTATCCATAATAAAAAGCTGCAGTGCTCAAATCTACAAAATACTTGCACTTAAGTGCAAAGAAAATGCAAATGTTTTTTTTTATTTTTACATCCCCCCCCCCCCTAAAAAAAATTTACATTTTCATGCAAGTATTACTAAATCCTAATCATCAATTAAAAAGGAAGGTTTTAGTCCAATCTAATGAAAACTGAATGAAAAATTGCATAGAATTAGAAGAGTATCATGCATAAAATATATCCACAGAAGGAACGGGAGTACTAAAAGCCAGCATCAATACCTTAACAAAGGGGACGTGATGACTAAATCACTCCCCTTAAAAAGCCAACTTGATTGGACATGTTTACACAAATTATCAACCTGTTAGAGTAGTGCAAAATTTTCTACAACATTAGCCTCAAAATTTTGCTAAGGACTACATATGTAAGCAGTAAGATACTTTTATAAGGTCATCTTTTTCCAAATGAGTTTGTGTAATAACATAACATTGATTGTTTTCCCACTTGCTGCCAGCCAAGTGGAGTAAGCTGTGCATCAAAATATTCAGGAGACATGTACGCTTCATAGTTCTTATCTACTTTTACATTGTGAATTCCTTGTGCATGCCTCACCTGGATGTATGGTTTTATAAGGCAACAATGACTTGGAAAGCATGAACAATGACTTGTCTAGCCTAAGTTCCTTGTCTTTGCAGCATTAAAATAAAATTCATAACTATGCATGTACATTCAACACTTAAACACACAGTTTTAGCTTCCAAATAAAATTAGGGTCTTTGAATGTTAAATTTAACAAATATCAATTTTGCAACTTTCAAATAACAAATTCAGCTTCTAATTGATGATTCCAGCAACTCATAAAATTGCTTTAGCATATAAATCTAATTTCCAATAACCATAGGCATTGTGTTAACTTCTAAATAAGACAATAAATACAATTTCAGCAGTTATGTGATTGGGACTCGAGAGAAAACGAGTAGGACTATGACCAAATGGAAGGTATATAACAATTCTAAGTCAGAGAGAAAAATGCATGAGGCAAACAAGCAAACAGCAGATGAAAAAAAAAAATAAAGACAAAGATTGCAGTCCCAAAATTAGTCCCAAAAATCAGTCCCCAAATGCATAAGGCAAGCAAGAAAACAACAAATGAAAAAAAAAAAAAAATTTGAAGAGAAAGATTGCAGTCCCAAAATCAGTCCCAAAATCTGTCTTCTATATGGATCGCAGTCCCAAAATCAGAATTTCAGAGAGAGAAGAGAAGAGGGTAGTGACCAAAGAGATGGTCGCGATCAACGCTGTGAGAAAGGGAGATGAAAGGGAAGCACCGTTTGAGGGAATGCTGTCGGTGGCGCTCAGTCAACTGTACGAGAGAGCTAGAGGAAGAGAGAAGAAGAAGAAAAAGCGGCAAGCTCTGTGCTGTGCTATGCTGTGCCATGCCGAACAAGAGAATGAAATTGAAGGCAAAGAAGAAAAAGAGGAGTAGGCGGAGGCGGTACGAGAGAGTGAGAGGGAGAGGGAGAGAGAGAGAGAGAAGAAGAAGAAGACATACCTCTGTGTCTCTGTGTTCTGCCGTGCCGCTTGAGGTTGTGGAGGGAGAGAAAGAGATGAACAATTTAGGTCAATTCTTTGTGTACTCACCTAAAAGGATCAGTCTACTATTAAAATAAAAATTAAAAAAAAAAGGACAGATTCAAAACGATGTGGTTTTGACCTGTTAATTTATTGGCGACGAAATTCATTAGGTTGCCATAAATATTATTCACCTTTCCGCGACTAATTTATTTCTATAGCCAAAAAGTTCCAATCGGCGACCAAAATTTTCGTCGCCGTATATTAATTTGGTCGCGAAAACATTTTTAGTGCTCCCGCGTAGAAATTAATGTTGGTGCCAAATGTTTTAGCGACCAATAATCTTAACTTGTCGCCAATAGTTTATTTTTTGGCGACCAACTAGTATATTGTCGCCGATTATCTACAATTGGTGACTAATTTCAATTTAGTTGCTAAAAAACGTCGCCAAAAATGCTTTTTGTTGTAGTGAATTTGCTCCACAAGAAGGTTCTCTGGGAGCTTAACTTTCTAATTTCCAATGCATTGTCGTGCCAAAAAGTTTCAATCGGCGACCAAAATTTTCGTCGCCGTATATTAATTTGGTCGCGAAAACATTTTTAGTGCTCTCGCGTAGAAATTAATGTTGGCGCCAAACGTTTTAGCGACCAATAATCTTAACTTGTCGCCAATAGTTTATTTTTTGGCAACCAACTAGTATATTGTCGCCGATTATCTACAATTGGTGACTAATTTCAATTTAGTTGCTAAAAAACGTCGCCAAAAATGCTTTTTGTTGTAGTGTTACATGGATTGGTATAAGAATATTACGCACCTATATGTTGAGCACACTGATGAACCGCGTGTCCATGACCATCAGGATTTCAGCCAACATGCCGATGTAATATATTATCCTCTTTTATGCATTTGTAACTTACTTTTTATTTTCTGATATGTTCCCTAAAATGTGATATTCTTTTCAAATGTAACGTATTGCACATGCACTGCAGATTTCACATCCTATTATTGACACTGGTTATGAGGAGGGGATTCGACATCCTTATCGACTTTACTAGGCTATTGAGAGTATGACGCATGTCCTTGAAGGTCAACACATTGACGAAGCTGGACCTAGTTATACTAGAGGTCGCTTTTCATCACCGACATTGACATATAGTCGTAGGCCTAGGCGTAGGCATACAGCTAATTCGTGACATGTTATTTGTTAGTTGATGAATTTTTTGTGGTGTTTTTTGTAAGATGATATTGTTGTAATGGTAACAGTGGTTAATATTTTCTTATTAGATGATATTGTTGTAATGACATTTTATTATTATAATGGAATGGTAACAATGGTCGTTGATTTTGTAAATGATATTTTCTTATTACAATAGAATGGTAACATCAACATCAACATCAACATCAAAAACACATCCATTAATTTCTTCTATAATTCTAACATTGTCAAATGCATACATGTGCCATGCGACATCAACAACATCAAATGTCTCTCGAGTAGTTACATTATCATGAATAATGTCCTTGAAATGTTGAATGCGATGCACATATGCATCATCCCAGTCGACAGCGCAAGGGTATCGGTATTTTCACCAATTAGTGGCTATAAGAGGAACTGGATGGCCTGGATGCAAGAAAACCTGCACCAAATATCAATTGAGTTAGTGGTCATATCTCATAACTTCTTGTACATGCACAAACCCAATTGATAAGTTTCTGTTATACCTGGACGAAATGATTTCCGTTGACAAACCCCAAAATCTCAGGTCTATCAAGTTGAGGTACTGGCACTGTTCTAAGAGGTGAAAAGGTGAGACATTGCTGTAATGACAAGTGGGATAACACAAGATTGTAGCACGATGCAACAAGATGGCCCATGTCTGGCATAGTCATCCAATGTGAGTATCCAGTATTGTCTTCAAAGTATGACAATATGCTTGTGAATTCTTCAAACCTTTCGTAGAACCCATAAAGTGTAATGTATTCCTCTTTGTGTGTGTGCAGGTCATCCAACAAATCATGCCTAACCTGAACCCAATCATCTTCTGTATGACCAATTGAAGCAGCTATAGCCCTGAAACCACAATTCCCATCTGCAGCTACATCCTTGACAAACTTAATGTATGATTTCAACCCAGAAGGGAAAGCATCAACATATGCACCAGGTTTCACTGTTCTAGTAATGTATACCTTCCCTTTCGCATTCGCCTTCTCCTTTCTCTTAACAGGACGCTTCTTCTTGGTTTCCAGAGTAGAAGCTAATGTAGTGATTTGAGTGTCCCAAGGTGAGAAGGAATCATGTCCAGATTGCACCAACTCAAATGCACACGGGTCACGACGGGTAGAAACATTGATCTTCTTATGATCCCGAGGACGTGTTTTGGGCTTCACCTCCGGCTCAACAAGAAAAGTGTTTCCTGAATATACAATCTCTTTTAACTTCTTCAAAAGCTCCAACTGCATGGTTCTATCACTTTCATTAAACTTGTTCGCAAACAACTCTACTTCTGCATGACAACTCACCTCTGTTTCCTCTTCTTTCTTGCATATGGAGATATGAAGTTGCCTCCACTGTGAGTGTATGGTAGCAAGTGGTATAGGACGATCTTGTCTGATGTAGTCAGCAATCTCATCGGCACAAGGTAAATCATGAGTGTGGCGAAGGACGCATCCACAAGCTTCAACATCAATACCAATGGAATTGGCTCTCTTACTCTCTACAAGCAAATACTTCAATGCAGAGACAGACACATTAACCCGTAGCTCTCTGAACTGAGAAGGTTTAAATTGATGTTGCACAACAGTTAGACTTTTCTCAAATGAAGCCTTGATATCAGTGTGTTGCAACTCAAGCAGACTGTGTATTTTCTTAAATGATGCCTGAAATGAGACTTGACATGAACCCAATTGTCTTTTAAGTTTTGCATGTGCACTCTCAGCCCTGTTCAATTCAATGTAAGTCAAATTAAAATCAAGTACATGGCACTTATTAATAACATATTGAATAAAAGTAATCTTATCGGTTCGTTGTAACATTGCCACAATGCATACACGTGTCTGTCCATGCCGCCACAAATTTGTCCTTGTAAGGAACCAACCAAGTATTTATGACGTATTTGACTGCATCAGGATAGCTACTGAATTCCTTAAGTAATGATTTAAGACGCTCATCGTATTGAATTTCAGAAGATGAATACACTAAAGAGTTCCACTCATGGTTGAATTTCTCCCATTTCTACTGTGTCTCAAACATTTTCTTGCATTTGGTCAATACATTCTTACTGATATGCCAACGACATAATAAATGTCTGTCACTCGGGAATATCTTATTTATGGCATTCATCAAGGCTAGCTCTTTGTCAGTAACAATAATTGTTAGCACAACAAAACCATCCAAGACATCACGCAATGTAGCTAACACCCACGCATAGTTATCGACCCTCTCATACTGTAAGTATGCGAAAGCTACAGAGAAAGTCATTTCAGGTGATGTCACTCCCGCAATTTCAAGAAGAGGAAGACGATATTTGTTGGTTTTATATGTGCAATCCAAAATTAATATACGTGGGAAAGACTGAAATAAGTCCAAACTGGTAGGATGTGCCCAAAACAAGTCTGTCACAGTCATCGTGGACTCTTCAGACCGATGGTGCTCAATGTAATTATACTTGGCCAATTCACCCAATAAGTGTTGCATCTGTGATCTTCCAGCTCTCTGTACCACCCTATTTTGATGGCGTATATTGTAAATGGTTTTAAGTGTGCTTACATTGAGGGCATCTCGCCGTTTCAAGGTTACTAGGATTTCTTTTGGCCGAACCATGCTCTTTGACATATCCATTAACAATGCTTTCTCAACCTTTGATAGCCTCCCCGCATATGAATGTCCCTAAAGGTGCTCCGCAGGTGGATGATTATGTAATCCGCATACTACGGTCAATGTCCATTCATCATGTGTGGTAAACCTGTGAGCCCTCATATCAAAAGGACAACCACACTTCTTCGTATTGGTTATTCTTGATGTATTGTTGTCATCATGTTTTAACTTCTTTGTCGCTCTATATTGGCCACTCCTCTCACAAGCAAGATACATCCTGGGTCTTTTTTTCCCTCCACCATTGTCTGATGTTTTGATTACAATGACCAAACCATTTCTTTTTCCAACTTCACGTGCCCAGTTGAGCAATTCATCCTTACTTTTGAATACCTACGAAGTCAAATAAATATTATCAAACATTTACATTTGTTGAGCAATTCGAAACATAATCATTATAATTTCGTAGAGTGAACCTGTTCAGTTATGAATTGAGTAGTGTAATCCAACACAAAATCCGCGCAAACCTAACTTCCTTGAGTTGACACATATTCCTACATGTTTTGTATAACATTACAAATTTTTAATGGCATTATAAAGATTAATTTGCAATTCGAAACTGTAAATTTGGTATGCAGTTTGCAAATTTGGAATATAAAATGGGAAAAAGAATTTACTTCATTCGGAAGTAGTTTTTCGAATTTATTTTAAAATTTCAGAAGTTGAATGTTGTAAAAGTTAACTTATTTCGGACAACAACTTCCAAAATTAAATACTTTGTTCGGACAACAACTTCCGAAATTAATTACTTTGTTCAGACAACAACTTCTGAAAATAAATACTTATTTCGGTAGTAGATTTCCGAACAAAATAATATAATTCGACTCTGGTTATCCGAACGATGCTGGAAAAAAAAGAAGAAGAGAAACTCACATTTCCTTCGCTATGTTTCTCATAAACATTTATTTGCTGATTTTCAGAAAACAAATCCTCCATAACAACTACGAATGAGGAAGGTTGAGAAGCTACGAACTTGGACCTTAATGGAAGAAGCTGAACTTGGAGCTTAATGAATGAGTGCTTTCACTTCTAGCTCAATGGAAGAAGTTGAACTTGGAGCTTCAACGTGAAGTCTGGATGGATGTGTGCATTGCGACGTTTTGAATTGGGTAGATGTCTAAAATAGTAATTACACTTTGGGATAAAATTTTAATAAAAATACATATCATTAAATGTGTGTATAGAGGGGATTTGGTGTGTGTAGATAGAAGCTCCCGTTGGAGAGTCGACAAACACATTTATGTTAGGTAAATTACACTAACCTCCCTGACGTGTATTGTAGATATAATAAATTTTAAAATTTTAAAATAATTATATTAACTTATCTTATAATAAGATTAAAAAGATTAAAATTAATGCAAATAGTATAAAGAAATAAAGATAAGCAGTGTGCAATATGCATTTTAATTTAAAAGTGATAACAATATTATTTTTATGTTCATATAACTAATAAATTTTTGAAAAAAAAGAATCGAGTGTTATGTAAAATTAAATTTTAGAAAAAGTTCAATGTAATTATTTTAACTTGTGAGGCTTACTATTTTTTTACGAAATTTCACGGAAGCCAGTGTAATTTACCCTTTATGTTAATATTTCCCAATCAAAATCTTAACTACTCCTAATAATAATAATAAACATGGTAAGGAAATGCATAGGAATAAGAAACTTGAACAAATTCTCTGGTGAATTCCTACAAATCGTTATTAGTGCATTAGGTATAAGTAAATTTACAAATATTTTATTTATTTATTTATTGTTTTAATTTTGTTACAATGAAATATTGGGTATATCACTACAACACAACTCCAACAAATTACAAATTCCTTCTTCTTCTTCTTCTTCTTCTTCTTTTAATCCGCAAAAGGAAATGTTGATGTAAAATGGAGTACAAGGAGTGCAAAAAATTACATCAATAAAAAACAGGACATGAAATAGCATCAAAGCTTTAAAAACATGGGAATGGAACTTCTTCACATCATTATCCTACATATTTCACCATACTCTGCTGTGACTTCGTTTGGGAAGCCAAAAGTCAGGGTTTTTTTGACTATTTTAACTACAAAAAACAAAATAGATTTTTTAACGTAATAAGACAAAATATCACATCTCTCACAAAAAAGTCAAAAAAGCCAAAAGCCCTTCCCAAATCAGGCTTTTTAGTCCCAGGCTAAAATTGCCAAAAAAAGTTAAAAAATAAAAAAGTCAACCCACTTCCCCAACGAACCCTGTATGGTCCCCATTCCGAGTCCACAATAATAATCCAAATCATTCAAATCTCATAGTAAAAATCATCTGTGATCAGTTTCATTGGATATCACTAAACATTTGAATAAATTATACATATTTTAACTGGATAACAATTATGAGTTTAAATTTAAACCACCAATTTTGTAAAATGTGATTTGTTCATATATTCATCGATATCGATAAAACTGATTTTTTGTACAGATAATTTTTATTATGAGATTTACCAGATAAGCAATTTTAATTATCATTATGGAATCAGAATGAAACACATAAAATAAACTATAATAAAATATAAAAGATAGTAATATGGATGGAAGCCATCTCCTATTGGATGCCAAATCATATCTGCTTACATTCTTTGCTTCCTGAGCAACTTCCAACTTGAAATTTTTCAGATTTTGTTGTGGCCAGTTGCGTAATATAGTTTTTCCCATCAAATTAGAGCCATTGTAAACCCAATTTCATTAAGGTTGGCATATGTGAACTTGAAAGAACTTGAGGGGTTTATGAGACTCACTATGATTTTTATTTTGATATTTTAAATCATTCATATTATAAGGTTATCTGTATATATCATCTATGAAAAAAATTGGGTTAATCCTATAATCACAACTTTTTATTTTATCGTGTTTTTTTTTTTAAAAAAGATGAATAGTCTATTTTTAAATATATATATATATATCATCATTTTTTTGGAAAAAAAAATTATGATAAAATAAAAATATTACGATTATCAAATCGATATAATTTTTTTTTTCATGGATTATATATATAGAAAGACCTACAAAAAGAACTTTTATTGAAACAAAGCATGTAATGGGCTTCACAAACTCCTCAAATTCCCTAAAATTAAGATGTGAACATGAAAATAAAAAACAACTCACCTTCTCTACCTCCGATCACCAACCCCCAACCCTCTCCTACTACAATCGCCTCCCCAAGCCACTACAACCCTCCTCTCCATCTCCTTCCCCCACTAACAACCCCCTCTTTACCACTGAAATCCACTTTTGGCCCCGCACCACCATGACCCTCCCTCCTTAGCCCATTCACCATTGCTGCTATGGGTGTTGATTTCCGATCACACAACCAAAGAGGAAACTCAGCTAGAGAGCACCGGCAGAATAGATTAAGCCCGAACAACCTGTCACAGAAAAATAAGAATCCGGCGGTGGTTCGTCCACTCGGGGGCACTCTGACGATCAAGTCAGTAATCAATATCTCTCAAAGATAACAAATAGTGCTTAACTCACTAGACATAACATAAAAAGAATACCTTAGACCCATGGGGGTGCCTCACTTTTATAGTGGTCAGTGTCCAACTTCCCCTAAAAGTCGTACTTCATGGGACTCTATCCTTTACAAGGATAACATCTATCACAACTCACACTATTCAGATTAAGATGAACTTTCTCAAGTGTCTCATCTCTATCCAAATAGGTAGTTTGATGTCATCTAGGACTCTAGTCCTCTATCCAAATATCTCAGATTCCGGTATTATTGCACCATATCTCGGCATCATGGTCCGTCCACGTGGTACCTTGGCTAACAACCTCGGCCACGTGGACTACCCAAAAATATGTCCCCACAGCTACTATCCTCTTTCAACCATTCACTATCACGACCACCCCGCAGCTACCCTACCCTTGTGATCCCCCTCATGGCCTTCTGCTCCCCTCGCAATCCCCCTCTTAGCCTTACTCCTACAAAAACCTATGCAAGAGAGAGAGAGAGAGATTTCAGATCTGGAAAGGGAAAAGGATGATGAGGGTGGCTATAGGGGCTGGGCAAATGAGGGGTTAAGGGGTATCAAGGTAGGACTAAAAGAAATTGGGGGTAGCGGGAACCGATTGTGGTAGGGTAGGGTGAGGCTAGGGGTTGACATGGTGGGGCAGACAAGGAGATGTGGCATTGGCATTCGAAGAGGTAGGGAGCAATGGTGGCAAAGAGGCAACAATGTTGGTAGGGGACGGAGGGTGAGTGTAACAAAAATTATGATTTTTAATTTTGTAGTGTTTGGGCACTCTTTGATAATTTTAGTTAAGGATAAAATTTTAACAAAAAAAATTTATGGAGTAATTAACAATGTAAGGTGATATATTTGTAGTGTTACTTAATGCCCCCACCATATACTTTTGAAACCCCTAACACTAAAATTGATTCCCACCATTTTTCTTTGAACATCCACCACCATAATCTCAATTATTCCCTTCGTTCTATAAACCCCCATCTCAGCCATCCCCTTCCTCCGGTAGTCCCACCACAACCACCCCCCAACTCCAACAACCCTTTCCCAGCTACCCCCTCTCCTCCACCTCTCGCAGCCCATTTTCCAACCCTCCCCTGACCGATTGCATTCAAAGATATTTGTGGATAATGAAAAAATTCATGTTTAGCCTTAACAATATATAATATTTTCAGTAAGTCATCATGATCCTACAATGATATTTAGGCTTGGCATGCCTCATGTACTCATCCCAAAATTTCACACCAAGCAAGACTTAACCAAATTCTGTTTCTCTAGGATTTCAAGGTCAATCATGCAAAGTTTAATTCAGCCAAAATCACCAGAGTGCACATTTTTTTTTTTTTTGTGTAAACAAAATCATCTTCTGATCCCAAAAAAAAAAAAGGAAAAAATCATCGTCATTAGATAAGTAAATTTACAACTATTTTTCCTTCCACTACAAGAAAAGTGGGCTTATAAGACGGAACTTTTG